TATTAGTACAATGTATGAATTTTCTTCTGAGGAGGGCGATATAGGGCCTTTTGTGTCAAAGGATAATCTGTTGATAAAATATAAGCTTTGTCCTTTAAGTCTTGTTTTTGATGTGGATTGGGTTTTTTAGTTGACATGTTATGCATTCATTACATAAAACTTTCATCCAAATTGGTGCATTTGTAAAGAAGTGTTTTTGGATCAAGCTTGAATATGTTTTTACTGATCCTGATGTCTTTTTGTTTTTAGAGAATGTGAGATGTGAATTGCTAGAAAAATCAAACTCAAAGGTAGACAGGGTAATTTGGTTTCCCTGTTTTTAAATTCAAGGAGATTTTTGTTTTCACTTTTTGTTGTGTTATTGAATTTTCTGAAATTTCTAAGGAGTGTTTTTTTCCCTAGAATTGTCATTACTGCTTTTATAGGTTTTGTTATTACTTATGCTAGGATTTAAGTTGTCTAATTACAGGGTCAAGTTTTTGGTATTTATGTAATAATTCTAGCGTTAAGTTTTCTGTAACTGGTAGAAAAATGATTCGAGTTTTGGTTTACGAGAGAGGTATATTATTTAAAGAGTGTTGTAAATTGAAAAATTTAAAGGAAATAGGTTTTTTATGTACAATTTTTGTTTAGCTGATTTTTGTTGTGTGCTGTTTTTGATCCATTATGAGTATAGTATTGGTTTAAAGGTAGAATGTCCTAATAGATCTTCTTCATAATGGTTAGCTTAGCAATCAGAGTATAAAGGAAATTGTTGTAAATTCTTTAACTCTGTGTTGTCGAGATCGGTTTTTACTGCATATTGGCATTCCAATTGTGGTGATGTTTCGTCTTTTTCAAAGGAAATATTTATATTTTGTGGCTTTTTTACGGTTGTTTTCTTTGTTATTAACTCAGGTGTTGTGTTTCGACTAAGTGTGTCTGGTAATGTAAGGTTTTTTCCTGCAGTCCAAACCTTGAGTAAGTTTGGAAGTTTCCTTAAGATAAATGGAAATATATAAACTCTATTGTTTGGGTTTGATTTTTGTGTGAATGGAAAAACTATAGGTTTGTGATCTGTATCTAAAAATGTTGGCTGTTTTGATCCACGGGTTCGAAGTTCATATTCCGTGAGAACATATTTTATGGCCTTACATTTTTTCATAAATGTAGAGAGTAAGTTCGGCTCGGGTAAATAGCCTTGAATTCGCTGAGATAGGTTCGTTTTATTTGTATTTTTGTGTGATGGTAATACTGCTGCGCCAATTCCAAAGTTTGAAGCGTCACAATTAGCATAAAATGGTTGATGGGGATCTGGTATCATATTTGATATCTGATCTGTAAGGAGAACTTTTATTTCATCAAATTGTTTTTTTTTGTTTCCATGTACATTCAAAATTACTTTGCTGTCTAAGAACAGTGTAAAACGGTCTTAGATATAATTGCACATTATATATTTTTCCATAAAAAAGTTAACATTCCAAAAATGTCTTTGAATTTCGTTTCATTTGATGGGGATTGAAGTTTCATTTTAGCATCTATTCGCAATTTTATTGAAGTGATTGTGTTTCCTTCAATAAAATGGCCAAGGAATTGAAAAAGGGTAAGAAAGAAATGTGATTATTTGTTATTTGTCTTTTTGAGCTGATATATCCTACTGTTTGTTTGTGCGGTGTGATTACTAGATCGTCTCTTTCGTTTCTAATCAAACAAGTGTCTAATATGATTGTTTGTTTGCTGCCTAAATTATCTCTTGATATAAGGTTAAGGATGATGGATGCAATACTCGGAGGTTAGAGTTTTTATGTCTTAAAATTTTAGGTCCTATGGTTTTTGTGTGGTTTTCTTAGTTTGCGGCATAGATTGTCGTGGTTGACGGGTTGTAGAGAGAGTATATCAATTCGTATAGAATGTTTTTGTACTTTGTCGTGACTAGATTTTCGGAAAAGAAGAAATTACTGAATCTTATCTAGGGGTTTGATTTGTGATCAAATGATGGAGAATAGTAAATTTAGATCCTTAGGTACTTTTTTAGAACTTACCAATACTTCAAGGTTTTAGCCTGCGTCATCTAAGAGGAAAGGCTCCATGAAGGATAAGTAACCGAAGTTCTTCACTGTTTATCTTAATTAAATGGTTAGTTTTCATTAAACTCTTTTAGTCCAGGGTCTTTAATAAGGGTTGACGAGTGAATCGACCTTTGAGGTCGTTGGACACTTTGAATTAAAAGGTGCGGAGAACTAAGTTTTTCTAATTGATCCGAGGGAGGCCTTGATGATCAGATAGTTTAAATGAAATAAAATGTACTCTAAGTTAAAGATCCAAGGGAAGCATTGATGATCTGTTTTTCAGTTGAAAGGGTTTTATTAAAAAGCAAGGATAAGCCTTGATAAATTTTAAAATAAAGTTTTAAGTGAAATTAAAGTGTTGAGAGTTAGTCTTTAAATGATGTTAGTTTTTTGAATAATTCTGGTTACATTTTTACGTGATGAAGCTGGGATGAAGAAAAAAAAAGATTTCTTGAGAAGCAAGAAGTATTTTATAATTTTATAAAACTTACGTTAAAACTTTCTACCAACTAACTTTTTTAATTAGACTCAAAAAATTAATTCTTTTAAAAAGTTTTGAAATTAATTTATTGCCGATTTGGAAAGGAAACAACTTCTGCTACTTTTATCAGTCAGAGGTACCCTAAAGTCAGAGTTTCGAGTCCCGGCTAGGCAGTTTTTTTTTCAGAACTGATAAAACTGAAGAAAAAAATTTCCGGTGGTTATCGAATTGTGTGACTTTCGTTTGTTCTGCTGATGTTTTACCGTTCTTATTTCCTTCAAGTGTTTTTGGTTTACATCTGTTTTTTATAAAAGTTAAAACCACATCTCTGAATATAAATTTTTTGGTTTATCTTTCTTTTTTAAAGCTTCAAAGCTATACTCGGCCTAAATGATTTTGTCTTGTTTTTATTGGCTAATTTAATTTATTTTTTGTCGCTTACAGGGTAAAAAAAAACAGTGATTTTTTTGAAAAGTTCAGGTAGTTTTGGCAAATTTCGAAATTTTAAAACTTAATTGCTCAAATTTTCATAACATTAATTTCTTATGGCTTTTTTCTGTTTAGTTCTTGCTCAATGGGCGTCTAGCCACTTGTTGTTGGCGTATATGCCACTCGGTCATTAAAAGCATATTTAATGCTGTTGCTGTGTTTTTTGTCCATATTTTTTTCAGATTTTTTTTTCCGCCTCACTTTCATTCGCTAGCTTGCATTGCTGCGCTTGCGTTGTATTGGAAGTGATGCGAGGCTCCGCTTTGCCTCTGTTTTGAATAAATTTTAGTGTCTGAGTTTTTTGCAAAGATCTTCTAACGAAATCTAAAACGTGTGTTTTTGTTGAAGCCAGTTTAGTGTGTGAAAAACACACCCAAATACAAGGTTTCGAATCTCATAGTCCGACTTCAAAATGTTCTTGAAAAGTGTGATTTATTTGAATTCATAGTTATACTCGTTTTAGCTCCATATTTATTATCGTTGAGGCAGGTTCTGAGATGAAAATGAGAGAATGAAATTGTTTTGAGGGTTGCCCATTTTTTTAAAATGCATGGCACTTTTTATAAATGGGATTTTTAACACGTTCTTTGAGGTCAGAACTTTCATAAACTGCAAAAAATATGGCTGTTTCGTGCAATTTTCAAAAATACTGGCATCAGGGGCGAATTTAGGGGGGGGACGTTCTTCCTCTCCGTCAGGGGTTCGACCCCCTGCCGACCCAAAGGGTCCCCCTTTGTACTATTGGAACCAGATATAAACTATAGTTATTATTGGTTATAAATTGGATATTTTATCTCTATAAAGTATTTAATATTAACCAATCACGATCCATCTAACTAACAACCCACTTATTTGTAAGTGCTGAAATTACTTGTAATTTCAGCACCAGAGAGATTTAAATTTAATTTAGAAATTAGTTACCTCTCCCAGAGAACTTTAGCAATCGCAATAAGCCAGTATACTCTAGATCTATTGAGCCTAGCAGAGACTAGTTAAACATCCTGAGACTAGTAGATATAAGAGTAAGATTAGGATCGGTATTAGACTAAGAAGTTGCACGAATCTATCCGGCCGAAAATAAGATAGCGTGACGAGCAGACGGTGTACCCTATCCGAAATTACTCTATGAGTTAAACCTAAAACCTAACTCACTATTGTGAGATATCCATTTTTGGGGACGGACCCCAAACTTTTTCTAAGGGCGCCCTTGGCTTCAACTTATACTAATTTTGAAGGGGGAGCGCGCGCCGAAAAAACATGATTTTTTGGTCAAAATTTCCAAAAGATGCCTTCTTCCAAAAATTTGCCGGCCGCGCAATAAAATATGGCCGAGCCAGGGTCTATGTAGTGCTTTGGGAGAGCTCAGAAAATCTATTTGGTCGACCTCAAAAAAAAGGTCGGCAAAATTTTCGCATATAGCCTTCTTGTCAGAGAGGGGGAATTCTAGCTATCAGTAGTGACAAAAGACCCTGTCTCAAGGATTTGACCAGCAGATTTCAATTCTAAGCGAGATATATGCTAAAAACGAGAATCCATGGCTCCCTGAACTTAATCATTCTAACATCAAAACCGATTGATTACTCAGATCATCGCCCACAAAAAGGCTCAACATTTGTGCTTAAACGAGAAAACATTACCTTTTCTGTCAAAGATTGATTTAGATTAAGGGAAATATGAAACAAGGCAAAGTTGTTCCATGATATCATTGGACAAACTAAAACCGATATCCACAGGCCATGAACGGGTTATTTCTTTTCCCATATTTTGCATATAACAGTACATGTTATAAAATTTCCTCGCGATTTCTCTGTAGAAAGCAGCGAATTCAACGCCTTATCAGTTCTGCATAACCTGCTTCTGTATAACTGAAAGAGGTGACCTTTAGCTTTCGGGTTTACAATTCTATCTAGACTGTGCTAGCAATGGTTCCACTTATCTTAGATCTGGGGTAGTTCCAGGCTCTGTGTTGTGTGGGTGCAACATGCAAATCGTATTTACGTTGTTATGAGTGCCAGTCATTCCTTTTACTCTTGATTTTAACTGAGTAGTCAAACCGGGAACCGTTTCTCTAAATATTCCATTCCATTTCTTCACAGTTCTATTCATACAACTCTTGACAACGAAAATGGGTACGTAGATTTTAAGGAAATCAAAAAGTCGGATAGAATTTTTACACTGCCCGAAACACTTAAAAAGACCCATAGTTTCCATCACAGTGTCTTTGGGCATTTTTTGAAGATTTTTACTCAAAAACCCGCCACGCATTCCTTTGTTTTTTCTTACAATTGAACAGATTAAGAGCAGGTCGATCAAACTGGGCTGTAGCGGATGATTTGAAAAGGTGGTAGATCTCTATGGCTGTGAAAATAAAGGCTTCAATTCATCCAACTTGAAGTAAAATTGTACGAAACACAATTGTCTTGTCGATTCAGCAGCCGGTATCAGTTTTTTGTTAATAAGTTGCTGTTTTTGTCAAAATTCGTTTCCTGCAAAAGATTTCAGCAACTTGTTAGAAAGTTTTAAAGTCAATATCGATCTTGATCAAGCTTTTTTGAGATGCCTGAATTCATGTGATTCAAGTTCGCAATAGCTCACAGTGAAATATGAATAATTTGAAAACTTTTTTGAAGATTTTCTGAATTTCATGATTTTTTTCTGTAATTATTGGCGTTTTCAGAAAATTTAAACCTCCAAATGATGTTTCGGAAAGTTGAAAAGTAAAACCTGGTTGAAGGCATTTTTCATGTTTATACCTTACGCATCTCAGAAGCTGGCTGATGTTATCAACGGATACCAATCAGAAGTAGTGAATTATCTTGAGTCACGCTTTTTATGGACTAAACATGCCTAAGTTTTTGAAAAGCAACGTTTTACAGATGATAAAATAGTGGTTTGAGGTACTCCTAAAATTTCAATTTCGGCTTGAAAACCCTTCAGCTTGCAGTCCCGTCGGCCTGTTGTCCTAGAACCGTTCAAAAAAGCAGCAAAGCTAATTCACGTGCACAAAAATTCTTTTGCAAATTTTAAACGCAGCGGATTATTGTGTCACGGAGCCGAATACCCGGATAGCCCAAAAATAGATTCGTTCCCAGATAGCCGAAACACAATTTCGTTCCCGGATAGCCGAAGTGTTTTGAGGTACTTTTAAAATGGTAATTTCGGCTTGAAGTCCCGTTGTCCTAGACCAGTTCAAAAAAGCAGCAAAACTCATTCACGTGCAAAATACTTTTTTTTTGCAAATTTTATTCGCAGCGGATTATTGTGGAGCAAGTGGTCGATACGGTGGCGCGTCACGGAGCGGAATACCCGGATATCCGAAAAATAAATTCTTTGCCGGATAGCCGAAAAACAAATTCATTCCCGGATAGCCGAACAATAAAATCGTTCCCGGATAGCCGAAAAATAAATTCGCTCATTTCTCTACTTCTTCCCACTCCCTTGCCCTCCTCCCAATTACCCCTCCCCCTACACACATTTACCCCACCATGCCCATCTGGCAAAAAATGAACTGTTAAGAACCACCAAACTGAGGGCCCAAATTGAGGGCCCCAACCGAAATTATAATCAATTATAGTGTTGATGCAGGCGCGGATCTAGGAATTTCTCGAGAGGCGGGCGCGGGGGTACAAATATTTAAAAACTAACAAGCAAAAACGCCGTTTTGTGGGATTTAAAACAATTACCAAAAATTTGCAATTTTCAGCGCGTGCTCCCCTTTAAAATTAGCATATATTGAAATAATTTAGAGTTTGACGGCCAAAAAATGACTTTTGTTGTTAGTTATTCAATGAGAGTAAAAAAAAAGGCACACCAATCTCCTAAAAATGTTCAAATTTTTGTAGCTAACAGGCTGCAAAATTTTGAGGAATTTTTTGTCCAATCAAAATGGGTCTCATATTGTGAAGAGTTTTCTTATTTGATTTAATTAAAACTTGAGGTATTTAATTTTCGGCTACCCGGAAATGCGGTTCCGTGGGTACGCACCGCCGATACTTGTGAAAGCCGAGTTTGAAATTAGCATTCTGACTTGCTAATTATTGCGAGTACCTTACAATACTTTTGCATTTTCATTTATGTTACTTAGTTTTATCTTGCTCGGCCTGGGGCTAGGTCTTTTACCAGACCAACCTTCTACCAGACTGACCTTTTACCAGACCACAATGCAATATTTCAATTGAGATAAAATTGAATTAGTGGAAAATTCGAAACGGAAGCGGTTACATTAAGCAAAACTTCGCTGAGAAGCCGTGAAAACATTGTCGTTAACCAGACTAAACGGCGTCATTGCATCTGTCTATCAAATTTGTTTGTCGAGTCTGGTAAAAGGTTTATGTTGTAACTTTTCTGGTAAAAGGTTGGTCTGGTAAAAGGTCGATCCCCTTTCGGCTTCTGTTGCAATTAATCTTGTCGCTTGCCTACGAAGTTTTTTTTTCGAAGTGAAAAAAGGTAAAATTTTATACTTCCTCTTTTCATTCCGTTGTGAATTGCTTTAAAATGTCGAACGCTTTCAAGAAAAAGGAAACGAAGTTTTTGTTTTTTCTTCTGCATTACGCTTTCAAGAAAAAGGAAACAAAGTTTTAGTTTTTTCCTCTGCAAATGTCGAAAGTTTTCAAGAAAAAGGAAACGACGTTTCAGTTTTTTCTTCTGCATTACATACTTCATCGAGACCTATGTATATGATTTAACTCTTCATGTGAATTCGCTGGTCATTTAAATATAAAAAAATGCGAACTTACTGCGTTGATTGGCAGTAGACTGTGAGTTTAAGCCCTAGATGGCTCACTCATAGAGTAATTTCAGGTAAGGTACACTGTCTGTTACTCACGCTATCTTTTATTTCGGCCGGATAGATTTGTGCAACTTCTTAGTCTAACACCGATCTTAATTTTACTCTTATAACTCCTAGTCTCAATAGATCTAAGGTATACTGGTATTTGGTAGTGAGATATCTGAAACTGTTCTAAATAACAACTCTCTTCTAACTTTTATTTAAGGTTTTCTCTTGCTGAAACTATGAATAGTTTCAATGTTACAAATAGTTGTCAGTGTTATGGATCATGATTGATAAGATAGAAATATTTTGTAGAGATAGTTTTATCAATAATATAATTGGTAATAAATACTAATACTAATTTTAAACTGGTTCAAACTATCCGGGGTTTAGAGAGTTTTAGTTTTCCAAATGCCTTTTGTAGTGAAGGATGAATAGAGAGGTTTTTTGGTTCTTTAAGTATTGTTTTTTGATGCAGTGACTGCGTGAAGGAAGGAGAGATGTACTTGTCGGCGTACAGAGAAGGAGGGCAGTTGTTCGTGTTCCAGAAGTGGGTCTCGTTCAACCTAGATTTTCTTGAGTGATCGTGTCAAGATTTCAGATTAATGCAATGGTGTGTTGATTTCGTTAAGTTTGAGCGAGACTATATGCAAGGTGGAGTTGGACTTCTCTGTGTGAAGCGCCAAGTGACTAGGATCTGTATGTGAAGTCCACGTCAAGTCGGTCAATGTTAATTTTTCAATGAAAACCATTGCTGCGATGCTGGGTCGATACTCGAAAGCCTGTAAGGGTTGTAACTACGGCAACAAACCAAAAGTTTTGCCATTCTAAATTCTAAATGTTGTCGAGTTTTCATATCCTTTGCTGCTCGTTTTTTTTTCTAAGAAATCTTTCTACATTGCTTAATATATCTATATCTTGTAAATGAGATCAATTGTAATTATGATGAATATTAGTTGTTTTAGCAGAAGCGTTTTTCTATACTTAGTTTTGGTTATTTCAAACATTCGCTCAGCCTAGAGTAACTCTCGTCAAAAATAACTCTTGTCAAAAATGCATGATGTAGGGCGGTGGGCTAAACCGGTTATAGAGCATGCTCAGGACATCCTACTGGGTGGTGAGACCAGTTGAGGGAGTATGACTTTACCGTCTCTTTGGACAGAGTCTTGTTCTTTTTTATCAGGTGTTTTTCTCTTTTTTATCTTTGGTTGTGTCCTTTTATCAAAAAAAGTTTGTTGTGTACTGATTTTTTCTGTCGATATTTTTGTGTTTCAAGTGATTTCAATAAAACCGGAAATTGGGTTTCAAAAGACTTATTTATCCCATTTTAATCTGGGTTTAATGTGGTCTGAGTACCGTGGAGTTTCATTTATTAAATAATTCTTCGTGGGCGAGTTGCTCGAATTTGTTGGATAGAGTGCGCAAATTGTGGAATTGTGGGCGAGTAAATGAGAATTTTTCGAAGTTAACAAAAAACGCACACTTAAGAAGGTAAATTATCTGTAATTTAATTTCATTTATAATTTCCTAATCCGTTTTTTTGAGTTTTTACTACAGAAATTTTAATTAATTATATCTGTTATTAAATTTGTTTCATTTGAATAAATCCGTTTCATTGTTAGATTCGAAATTAAAAATTTAAAAGGAGTTTGTGATTTTTTAAATTTTGATTTTATTCTATAAACGGTTGACTGGTGAAATCTAAGGAAGAAAAGTGAAAAACACGTGAAAGATATTTGTGTTAATAATAAAAAGTAAAGGGGTTCGGTTTGCGGGAAAAATCACTGGGGGAAGTTAGTTTCGATAGTGTGAGATGTTACTAAAAACTTGGCAATCATGCGGACTATTTTTTAGTGCGAAGCAGTGGCCGAAGAAGTTCATGCGCTCTGATGATTTTTACTTCTTCGGTAATTGTGAAAAATTCGCGATTTCAATTTTTGATGAGAATGTGAAGCTCGTGGTTAAATTTGATATTATGGGTGTTCTCTAATAGGGCTTTTTCAAAGGGCTGTATATAGTCGTGGGGAGGTATGATGGGACAGGCGTCATCTAGTGAGAATTGTTAATCAATGGGCAAAATGTATATATCTGTCGGACGGGATCATAATTACGGAGGATGCCGTGGAATATGATGGATTTATTGCAATGTGTGAATTTTAAGAAATATGATGATACGTATTTTGAGTTAATGAACATAAATCGATGATGCGGGTTACAAGATGGTGAACTGTGATCATAATGTTTTTGTATAAATTTATAATATGTTTATGAGTGGGTTAGATTCGATTTTAACATTTTTTCCTGTGAGCTGTCGATAACTCTTTCTTTTGGTGTAATGAAGTATAATAGTAGTGCGGA